CAAAACATTTGTTTTTTTAAAGCCAACTTTGATTTTTATGTAATAAAACCACAGTAGAACGACACGGAATTGTTTTCGCTCAAATCTGTCAAACTTACCTTGAGAACTTTACTTTTTAAACTAATTTAAACAATTGAGAACTTTACTATTGGAACTAATTTCTCGCTAAAACAATTGAATGAATGAATTTGTGGTTATGTTTTATCATTTAATTTAAAGCGTAGCTGCGAACGCCATCTATTCAAATTAATCCAAAGTTGAATTTTGATTTTTCCTAATGTATTTTTTATTCAAATCACCCCTGTATTAGGGCGAACAAAACAAAAAAATATTTAAATCGGTTGAGCCATTTCCGAGTTTAATTGTTATTTAATTTAATAACTTAAGTAAAATAATATTGTAACTAGAAATAACAAAATATAACCAGAATTTTTTTTTTGAAAATTACTATAAATTTTTATTTCAATTTTAAAAAGGTTACTTATTGAGTTTAAAATTTTATCAAACAAATAAAACAGAAACATGTTTCTTCTATGTTTTCTTCCTGCATTCTATCTAGTCAATATTTTTTTAATATAAGTGACTGACAATCAAATGACAAAAGAGCATTAAATTATCTACAAAAAATTTGTAAGATCTAGAAACTAAACCATATTTATATTGATGATGGGTCAAAAAGTTAAATTACAATTTCGTACTACTTTTAAATTTCTACAAAATTGTATCAAAAAAATCATTGGACCATTAAGTAATAGTCTAATAACTATTGATGATTGGTCAAAAAGTTAATTTACAATTTAGTATAACATTTAATTCCTACAAAACTGTTATAAAAAATGTATTGGAGCATTAATACTAAATAAGTTATAATATATTATATTACATCTTATTTTTATACGTTTTTTTGTTGTTAAAATTACGTTTTTTAAATATAGAAACTAAACTAATTAATTTGGCTTTGGTGGTGCGTAGATGAGTAAAGTCATATAAAAAAGTAGTTAAATATAGGTGACTACGGCCCAGGAGAGACAAAGTATTCCTAGCGGATAATAATCTTTGCTTTGAAAAGAATTTTTGTAAATGAAATTAAAATTTTATGTGAACACACGTGAATGTTTTCCAATCATTGGACTCCAATGGTGAATTGGTATTTTGTTAAAGCCACTGGACGTTAATACTTGTACTTGTAATAATGTATATATAATGTATATATTGTCCAGGACTATTAATGATCAGTAACTTGCAAATTGAAAGAAGAAAAAGTTTCGTGATTATTGCTTATCTTTTTCAAACCAAATGGATGCTATTTTCAAAGACAGGAAAATTAACTACTAGATTTTCTACAAAAAGGTTGAACCTAACAGCAAATAATTTTTATTTTTTGTTTTTTTATTTACCTTATTTTTTAAAATTTTAAAAATTTTTGATCTGCTTAGCTGAAAATAATGCGTGATTTAATATTTTATTGAATATAATTTATTTATATACATTTTAGACCCTTTCGAGATTATTATTAGTTTTTTGCGAATTTTATGAAAAGATTATTTTTTTATACAAGAAGATTTGGAAACAGCATTTAAAAGGCAAATTTATTGTATGTTAGTAACAAAAACAAGACCTGACACATTTTGGAAACAATTTAATCATAATACAAAATAAATATAAAAATCTTTGCTCAACAGGTTAAGACATATATACAACCGAAAAAAACAAAAGGCTTATGTAATTGTTTTTATTATATTAAATATTAATCTATAACAAAAATTATATATCTATACTCATAGTTAGATTTTAAAAAACAATTATACAACTAATTACAACTTATTAACATGACCTTTTTTAAAATATTTTCTTATAAAGAAAATTTAATTGGTATAGAAAATCTACAGTATATTTACATGAATTGTAGAAAAAATTATGATATACATATATTATATTATATTTTCCATTGTTTTAATGAAAGTGTTTTTTCATCTGGTTAGCAAAACTCTAATTGGTACTTAACGTATGAAAATATGGCGAATATCTATTAATAAAAACGTAATTTTTGACACCCAAATTTTGTACAACAAATTTTATTTGTTAAAATTATGTCCCTGATGTTAATTAAAAATAACTTGCATTAAACCACATTTACTAACGTTAATAATTTATCACAGTTTATGCAGAGAATGGTAAGCAATTTTAGTTTCTGAATAATGGAATGTTTTCTTTTTTCGTTCAAAAATAAGCCAATCTCTTTATAGTCCCGATTATCTTTGCATATTTAGAATAAATTACGCTCTGAGGGCATGCAAAACTAAATTCCTTATTAATAGATATTATTATTTTGTTTTTGAGAAAAGCAAACTGCTACAGTTTTGATACAAAACAACTTCTCGCTTATTCTTCATTTTACTGGATTAAATAAAAAAATGAAACACCATCTATAAAAACAGTTCTACTTTTAATAATCGTTATTACATATATGTAAGTAACTATAAAAATATTTGTATTACTTCTCTATAATTAAATTGAGACCATGACTTCCAAAATAAAAAGTGGAAGGGACCAATTACACCGTCGTACAAAATTTTTTGCACAGAGCTGGGGTATTTTTTTTTGTGTTCAGGGGACCCGAAAAATGCACAAAAAGTGGAGGTCAAAGAATTTTTTTGCGTAATGGCCAATTTTCTGTTTTTTGATGAAATTGAAGAAGTCGCTTTGTTTTGTTAAAATTAACTGAATAATCAACATCAATGCACGAGATTTGAACCATTGTTACTTTTTCTTGAAAAATAGAATTTTGCACAAATTTTAAGCTATATCCAAGACTGTTTGACTCATTCATTAAAAAAATGGTCATGTATGATATTTTTGCTATTAAACCACATAAATAAGAAAATTAAACTAATAAGTTTATTAAACAATGTATAAAATTAAAAAAAGGCTTGGTTATACACTGCGCGTCAAAATTAACGCATAACAAGTAAAAAAAAATCAAACTAAAATTTTGGACAATAATATTTTAACTTATATCTCTGTTTACGTGTTCAAGGGTTTAAAAATGAAAATATCCTTAAAACCCTTTATTTAATAATAAAAAACGCTCGAAATAACTTTTATAGGGAATTTTTTTAGTAAATAAAAAATATGCTGTAAAAGACCGTATTTTTGTTAGTATACCCTAAAAATGTTGTACAAATCAAACGAACAGTAACGAAAATACAGCGCTTCAAAGTCGTCAAAATGACAATAAAATAATCAAAAAGGGGTCATTTTTACCGACTTTGAAGCGCTGTTTCTTCGTTACTATTCGTTTGATTTGTACAAAATTTTCAGGGCATACCAACAAAAATACGGTCTTTAACAGCATATATTTTATTTACTTAAAAAAAATCTGTAAAAGTTGTTTTTTGAATGTTTTATTTATTAAATAAAAGGGCTTTAAAAATATTTTCTCGAAAAACCCTAGAACATGTAAACTGAGATGTAGGTTAGTTGAAGTATTTTTATACAAAATTTTATAGTTAGAATTTTTTTTACTTATTATGCGTTAATTTTCTTCAAGTCAGAATTGTTCATATCTTGTGTATTGGTGCCGATAATTTAGTATGAATAATAATTTTTTCAATTTCAACGGAAAATTGGCTGCTACGCAAAAAAATTCTACAGCTTCAGCTGCATTTTTCAAAGTTTCTGGGTGCCCTGAATATAAAAAAAACCAGCTGTTGCAAAATCCTTGTTTGACAAATCCAAACTTTTTAAAGCGCGCGAGAAATTATTCCGATTTGATTTTCGCTCTTTAAAATAAATTATTAGCACCGAAAGTGGACAATTTTCAACGTCCTAAAAGTTGAAGTGAAATAAAGTAGAGTGTGAACTTTTTAACTTTGTAGTTTAGAATTTGAGATATTCCTGTTGTTTCAGAATTTTAATTGTATTTGTCATTCTTGAGATATTCAGCATTCCTTGATGTTTTTTTTTTGTTATTTTGTTCGCAGTTTAACCAATAGAAAGATCTGAACTTTTTCTGAATACCTTAGGAACAGTAAATACAATTAAAATTGCGCTTTGATGGAGATGTTTTCAAAAAATTGGGGGATAAAACATATAAACTAGGAAGCCTGACATTGCGATACTTGTATAGTTAATCTGATATGAAATTACACGAAAATCATTGACATTTTTTTTTTAATATTAAGGACAAAATTTAATTAAAACGTACACTGCGCGTCAAAATTAACGAATAACAAGTAAAAAAGTTCTAACTCTAAAACGACTTTACCAATCTTGTATAAAAATACTTCAACTTCTATCTCAGTTTACGTGAGCCCTTTTATTTAATAATAAAAAAACGTTCGAAAAATAACTTTTATGGAATTTTTTTAAGTACATAAAAAATGTGCTGTTAAAGACCGGATTTTTGTTGGTATACCCTGAAAATTTTGTACAAATCAAACGAACAGTTAACGAAGATACAGCGCTTCAAAGTCGGTAAAAAATGATTATTTTTCTGAAAAGTGGTCATTTTTGACGACTTTGAAGCGCTGTATTTTCGTTACTGTTCGTTCGATTTGTACAACATTTTCAGGGTATACTAATAAAAATACGGTCTTTCACTGCATATTTTATTTACTTAAAAAAATTTTTTTTCGAGCCTTTTTTAGTATTAAATAAAAGGGCTTTAAGGATATTTTCTCGACTATTCCACTCATTACTTTATGGACCAATCGGATTTCAGTTTTGCAGCGATAACCAATTGGTTGCTATGCGAAAAATAATTGACGTTTCTAATTTTAAAATTAAAATGTAAAAAATATGCGTTTTGGTCAAAAAATAGTCTTGTTTGATTTTTATTTTCTCAAGATTTTCCATTAACGTTAACACTTTTTCAAGAAAATATTTATAAAAATCAAATATTTTATCGGTAAAATTTTACCACTAGTACTATACGAAAAAACCTTGAACATGTAAAGTATTTTTTAAAGTATATTAAAGTTTTAGAGTTGTATATTTTTTACTTGCTGTGCGTTAATTTTGAAGCGCAGTGTATAATACTTGATTTAGTGCTAGATCAACTTTACACTGTGGTACAAACGATAAAATAACGTTATGTCACTCAGTAAAAAACGTTTACTAATGTTATAAAAAATATACTTCTATTATGAGTAATTTTTTGCACATTTCTTAATTATGAACACTAGAAGTCAACATCTTTATTATGCGGTAAAAAGTAAAAAAAAATCGTGTGACTAATTGAATATCGTACAGGGTGATTGATAAAAGAACGTTTTTACCTTTTAATTGTTTAGATTTGCCTCGACGACTTACCTCTCTTTAAAGAGTCAACTTTAATCATCACCGTTTGCTATCTTACAGAAAATGTACAAGTTTTAATGGTAGTAACAATGAACAAAGATAGGTGGCGGTGGCGTTCCGCGCAACTTCGAAACGGACAAATCGAGAACGTAAATATCACAACAACACTGACAAGAGGGAGCGTGCATCACTTGAGATACGACCTGTACAACAGTTTACTTTTGCACAGATCCTTTTCCGATTCGAACAAGAACTGAATGTCGCGCAACGTCACTTTCTTCATCCGCTGTCGCAGCGGCATCTGGCCGCGCATGCCGCTGCTGAAGCCCGCGTTGGCCTGAAAATACGACACATTTTCTAAAAACTATACCTCAAATGTTTTTTATTTTTTGCGTTTGCCGGTACAGGGTCATTCCATGACAAACGATGGTATACTCACAGGCAAAATACAAACACACAAATTTTCGATGAATTTCAATCGCAAATAACTTTTTTATTTGATGTCAGATTATTAAAGAATATTGTAGATAAATTAATGGACAATCGCGCACATTTTAAAAAATTACTAACAGGTTTAAACAAAAAGATGTTTTTTACCATAAGTTTAAGACACAAAACCGTATATTGTTGTAAATTAAGTTTTATTTATCAAGTCACATCTATTCTTAACAGTTTTGTTTTTGGTTCACCTCGATATATTTATTTTTGTGAAAAATATGGATTTTTAAAAAAAACATTGCAATTTGCAATATTTTTCTGTATGAAGAACTAAGGTTGCTATGGTCCATCCATAGCCTATGGAGAATAACAGTGACAGTTTTGTTGAATCATCCCATACTTGGCTTTCAAAAGCTATCAAATTGTTTTTTTGCAAATTAATGTTTAAATTTTAAGGTGTCTTCTTACTTTAAAAAATGGATATGTCTCCAACTGATGTTGCCAGAGCCATTAATTTAATCCAGGATGGACGGTCACAGTATTACATGGCTAGTGTTTTAAACGTCACAAGAAGTAAAGTACAAAGGGCAACATCAATCAGAGACATTTTTAAAAGTAAGAAGACACCTCAAAAAACAATTTGATACCTTTTGAAAGCTGTATATGGCATGTCCAAGTATGGGATGATTCAACAAAACTGCCACTGTCATCCTCCATAGGCTATGGATGGACCATAGCAACCTTAGTTCTTCATACAGGAAAATATTGGAAATTCCAATGTTTTTTTAATACATCAAGGTAAACCAAAAACAAAACTGTTAAAAATAGATGTTACTTGATAATTAAAACTTAATTTAGAACAATATACGGTTTAGCCACTCTACAGTGTCTTAAACTTATGGTAAAAAACATCTTTTTGTTTAATCCTGTATATTATAAACGTACGTGTATTTTTTAGTAATTTTTAAAATGTGAGCGATTCTCCATTAATGTATCTACAATATTCTTTAATATTTGTTTAAATCCGAAATCAAATAAAAAAGTTATTTGCGATTGAAATTCATGGAAAATTTGTGTGGATCGATTATTTTATTATTAATTTGATAATAAAATAAGTTGATAAAAAAATTATTTCATTAAAAATAATGAAAAAAAATAATTCGATAAAAAAATAAGCTGATAAAAAAATTTTTTCATAAAAAAATAATTTCATTAAAATATAATTTCATAAAAAAATAATTTCATACAAAATAACTTAATAAAAAAATAATTTGGTAATAAAATAAGTTGAGAAAAAAATTATTTCATGAAAAAATAATTAAAAAAACTTAATTTCATAAAAAATAATTTGATAAAAAAATAAGTTGGAAGAAAATAATTTCATTAAAAAATAATTTGATAAAAAAATAAGTTAATAAAAAATAATTTGATAAAAAAATAATTTGGTAAATAATTCATATAATTAATTATTTATAAAGCAAAATAAGTTTATCATAAAAATTCGCTGAATTTCTAATAAATGTAACAATGGTCAGAGGCAGAATCGTGAAACACCCGAAACGCACACATTTCGACTTATAAAATCGTTATCCTATATGCTAAACTGTACTAATTTTACAATTTAGATAGAACTAAAAACGTAGAGAACAAGGCACTTTAATTGCAAAATAAATAAAGTTTTTATTGCATATTCAGTACAATACAGAACATATAATACAAAATATACAAAAGGCCATCGACCGGGGTCCTTCAGCCTTGCAAAATAATTATTTCAAAATACCTCAAAATTATATTTTGGTTGAACAAATGTAACACCGAAAACGATGGAATGACCCTACACGTAAAAACTTGATACAAACGTCGGGAAAAAAGCCTCATTCAGAACCTCGAAATTAGTGGAAAAATAAGTGGTTTAATTATACTTATTTGCTAAAAGATTGTCCATTCTTCTTAACCTGACATAAACAATATTAATTATAATAAAATAATATTTTTTACAACCATTACAATAATATTTATATAACCTTTCCTTCACTGGCAAATCTTCAAACTTTTCGCTTTTGACATGCGCACATGCGAAAAGCCGCTTTCCAATTATAACTAGTGGTAAAAGTTAGAAGTTTGCAAACTTTTTCCGCTAATTGAAAAGTACTACCACTAATTTTTTGGTTGTGAACAACATTATGTATATTCATAAGACAAACTTTTACGTTAATTGAAACCACCAATTTATTCCACCAATTACGAGGTTCCGAACGAGGCTAAAGAGTCTGGATTCTTACCTGCGAGCCCGCGGACGAGCCGTCGCCGTCGAGGCGGGGCTTTTTCCTCGGCCCGATGGCCTGGAGCGCGGTGGCGTTCGCCTCCCGCTGCCGCAGCTCCTCCATCTCGACGCGCTGCATCTCTTTCGCCTTCGCCTTCAGCTTCGCCTGCTCGGGGTCCTCCGTTTTCGATCGGCTCTTCGCCGCGCGCAGCAGGATCTCCCGCTCGAGCTCCTCGTGCTTCTTGCGCTCCGCCTTGTCCAAGTCTTCCAAGAACTTTAATTGACCTGAACACGAAATCGCAAATATCGCAAACGTTTATATTTTACTTACTAAAGAAGCTAAAGCCTGGTTCTAACAGAAAAGTAATTTAATTTAAGATGTAATTTAATTAAACTTAAAAGTTAAAAACCCAACAATCCTTTGTAACGTTCATACGGTGATGTAATTTAAGACTTAATTTAATAGTTGGCCAACTTTTATCTTTTAAATTAAATTACGTTATTTCAAGGTTATTTCGTATTATCTAACCTATTTTGGGAGAATCCAACTTATTTTGTGTAAACGGTTTTAATAATAAGAAAAATATTTCGATTGTAATTACCAAAGTAAACCATTTATATCTAAAACTTTAAGTTTTAGTTACATGAAGTAAGCACTCTTTAAAATATTGTTTTTAATTTCAAACACTATTTTTTTTAGTACGTTACTTTTTGTATTAACGCAACTAAATTAAATTAAATTACTTTTTAAGTTAAATTAAATTATATTACGTAATTTCTCTGTTAGAACCCAGCTTAACATATCTCTTTGCGATTCTTGAATAAGCAAGTAATTTTGTTACTTGGTTTTTGACATTTTGAAATTGTTTTGGTTTTGACCATGGAGCCTACACAAGAAGCACAAACTTAATAGGGGGAATTGGGAAATGTGTTTTTTTAATTATTTAAAACATCATTAGACGTTTTTAAGTAATTCTTATTGATTTTGACATTTAATTGTATTTTTAACATTCTTTAATAATTTTTATTTATTTTTGATAGTATTTTCTTAAAATGCTTGTTTGGCAATGTTTAAGAAGTGGTAAAACACGATACATTTTAGTAGTAAATAGTAATTTTTTGTTAAAAAATGAAAAAAATAAAAAAGTAAAAATTTACAGAAATCTCAACTAATTTTTATTTATTTTTGATATGATTTTGACTTTCTGAAGTTGCGTTCTTAAAATGCTTGTTTGGAAATGTTTTAAAATGATAAAACACGATACATTTTAGTAGTAAATAGTAAAAAAAATAAAAAAGTGAAAATTTACAGAAATCTCAACTAATTTTTTTTTATGATTTTGACTTTCTGAAGTTACGTTCTTAAAATGCTTGTTTGGCAATGTTTTGGAAGTGGTAAAACACGATACATTTTAGTAGTACATAGTAACTTTCTGTTCGTAAATGGAAAAAATAAAAAAGTGAAAATTTACAGAAATCTCAACTAATTTTTATTTATTTTTGATATGATTTTGACTTTCTGAAGTTACGTTCTTAAAATGCTTGTTTGGCAATGTTTTGGAAGTGGTAAAACACGATACATTTTAGTAGTACATAGTAACTTTCTGTTCGTAAATGGAAAAAATAAAAAAGTGAAAATTTACAGAAATCTCAACTAATTTTTATTTATTTTTGATATGATTTTGACTTTCTGAAGTTACGTTCTTAAAATGCTTGTTTGGCAATGTTTTGGAAGTGGTAAAACACGATACATTTTAGTAGTATGTACATAGTAACTTTCTGTTCGTAAATGGAAAAAATAAAAAAGTGAAAATTTACAGAAATCTCAACTAATTTTTATTTATTTTTGATATGATTTTGACTTTCTGAAGTTACGTTCTTAAAATGCTTGTTTGGCAATGTTTTGGAAGTGGTAAAACACGATACATTTTAGTAGTACATAGTAACTTTCTGTTTGTAAATGGAAAAAATAAAAAAGTGAAAATTTACGGAAATCTCAACTAATTTTTATTTATTTTTGATATGATTTTGACTTTCTGAAGTTACGTTCTTAAAATGCTTGTTTGGCAATGTTTTGGAAGTGGTAAAACACGATACATTTTAGTAGTATGTACATAGTAACTTTCTGTTCGTAAATGGAAAAAATAAAAAAGTGAAAATTTACGGAAATCTCAACTAATTTTTATTTATTTTTGATATGATTTTGACTTTCTGAAGTTACGTTCTTAAAATGCTTGTTTGGCAATGTTTTGGAAGTGGTAAAACACGATACATTTTAGTAGTACATAGTAACTTTCTGTTCTTAAATGGAAAAAATAAAAAAGTGAAAATTTACAGAAATCTCAACTAATTTTTATTTATTTTTGATATGATTTTGACTTTCTGAAGTTACGTTCTTAAAATGCTTGTTTGGCAATGTTTTGGAAGTGGTAAAACACGATACATTTTAGTAGTACATAGTAACTTTCTGTTCGTAAATGGAAAAAATAAAAAAGTGAAAATTTACGGAAATCTCAACTAATTTTTATTTATTTTTGATATGATTTTGACTTTCTGAAGTTACGTTCTTAAAATGCTTGTTTGGCAATGTTTTAGAAGTGGTAAACACGATACATTTTAGTAGTAAATAGTAATTTTCTGTTCAAAAAAGGAAAAAATAAAAAAGTGAAAATTTACAAAACCGTTTCCTTTACCTTTAACATCGTGCGTCACCTCGTACCGCTGATCCGACTTGACGACCTCGAGCCGGTGCTCGGTGATGATCGCCAACTTTTCCAGCAGGTTTTTGACGCGCTCCTGCGCCGCGTGCGACAGGCACGCGGCCACGTCGGCGCTAGGCTCGTCCAGCCCGTGCATCTGCATTATCTGCCGGATTTTCTGCTGCAACGGCACCATCGAGCACATCAGCTCCTCCTTGCACGATCGGATTTTCGTTCCCACGAACTCCGTGGATCCTGGATGTAAAGAAAATATGACGTAATGACTTTTTTTAAACAATTTGAAAGGTAAATTTACGTATTTAACAAGCTGTAGTTAGAATTTTTAAAAATCGATTTTATTTTCTTTAAGTACAATATTTCAAGAGAATTCTGAGAAAATTTCAACCTTCCAGGTGGAACGGTTACGGAGATATAATAAAAATTAGAAAACACCTAGGATTTTGTGACTTAGTATAGGTCATTTGAACTACCCGCTGTCTTATACACGGAGCAACAAAATCCTAGGTTTTCGTAAAATGGTGTTTTTGACGTTTTTTGCATTTAACAATATCATGCAATTTCATGTTGACGCTAATTTTTTAGCGTCTAGTATGTTTAAAAATAGGAATATGCAAAAAAACTTTTTTTCGATACGTAAAAAAGTTAAAAAATCCACGGAAATGTTTTTAGGGCTCTAGTGGGGTAGTATAAGATAAAATTTTTGGCCAAATCAACAGTTTTATTGCAAAAATGTTGAAGTTGCCCAATGATGGGATTTTTGGCATTAAACGCAGAATTTTTTTTAAATGACTAATTGAAAAATTAATGATTTTTTCTAACAAAATACTGAAAAATTCCTAAAATATACAAAAAAATTATAAATATTTTGTTGGTATTTTTTCTGAAAGTATGTTTAAAAATAGGAATATGCAAAAAAACTTTTTTTTCGGTTAAGTAAGTAAAAAAAGTTAAAAAATCCACGGAAACGTTTTTAAGGCACTAGTGGGGTAGTATAACATAAAATTTTTGGCCAAATCAACAGTTTTATTGCAAAAATGCCCAAAGTAGTTTTTTTAAATATTTCTATATTTATTAATTTATTTGTATTAAATATTACTTTTATAATTATGTTAACAGTATAAATGTCACTTTTTAATTTAAATTTAATTGTGAAAGTGTTTTATCGCAAGTCTATTCACAAAATCTCATTTTAACTCAAGTCACATTCTCAAAATCTCTTCAAAAATGCATTTTTGTGAGAAGATCGACTATTTTACAAATTCCCAAAAGAGTGAGTCCAATATTAATTGAAAAATGAAAGAAAAAATTCAAAAAGGGACAACTAACCTAGATTTTTTGCGAGTTTTTGAAGTTGGCCAACGATGGGATTTTTGGCATTAAACGTAGAATATTTTTTTTTAATGACAAATTAAAAAATTAATGATTTAAAAAAAATTAAAAATTCCTAGAATAAACAAAAAAAATATGAATAACTTGTTAGTATTTTTTCTGAAAGTATGTTTAAAAATAGGAACATGCAAAAAAAACTTTTGTCGGTTAAGTAAAAAAAGTTAAAAAATTCACAGAAACGTTTTTAGGGCATTGGGGTAGTAGTGGCCAAATCAATAGTTTTATTGCGAAAATGTTGAATTTGGCCAACGATGGAATTTTTGGCATTAAAACGCAGAATTTTTTTTTTTAATGACAAATCAAAAAATTAGTGTTTTTTTCTAAAAAAAAAAATTTTAAATTTGTAGAATATACAAAAAAATATGAATATTTTGTTGGTATTTTTTCTGAAAGTATTATGGCACGCCGTTTTAACATTTATTAAATAATTTTTTAATTTAAAATGTTATTGGTTTAAAATTTTCCTAACTAAAAATGTTAGGTTTATATTTATAAATTTATAATATTTTCAACTATCATGTATTGAAAGACAAAATTTACTAACCAACAGTTCACTTCTGTATTAAACAATATTATTTTCTATCATTTTTTAATAAAAATAATTTCCCAACTATAATTTATTAGGGTGGCATTTTGTTAACTTAAGTAAATATTTTATAAAATTATTGAGATTAATTTGGTAAAGTTAAATTTTTTAGTATTTAAAAATAGTATCAAGCCATTTAAAATAAAAACACATATAAAACATTTTCTACCAAAATAGTTTAAAAAGTTAATTTTTTGTAAATTCAAAACTATTGATAATCAAAAAATATTTTAAATATAAAATGCAACTGTAAAAGTTTAAGTTTAAAAATATTAATTTAAAAAAAATGGAATTTTAATATTTTATTCTTCAAATTTATTGGTTTCAATTGGTAAAGAGTCATTTAAATGATAGTCGATAAATTTTTAATCCAAAAATTACTAGGTACTTTAAAATTTAAAACTTACATTTAATGTAATGTGAGAATTTTTGTATTAAAAACTATCATTTAAATGACTCTTTAAAAATTTAAACCAATAATTTTGTAGAATAAAAAATTACAACCAAAACTTTTAAAAATCAATATTTTTAAACATAAATTTTTACTGTTGCATTTTATATTTAAAATATTTTTTTGACTATCAATTGTTTTGAGTTTAAAAAAATTTAACTTTATAAATTTCTGTTAAAACATAATTTAATTGCTAAACTTTAATCTTTAAACTTTTATCTAATAAATGATAAAACGGCGTCCCATAAAGTATGTTTAAAATTTTTTCGGTTAAGTAAAAAAAGTTTTACTGCAAAAATGTTAAAGTTGGCCAACGATGGGATTTTTGGCATTAAACGCAGAATAATTTTATTTAAATGATAAATTAAAAAATTAATGATTTTTCCAAAAAAAAAAATTAAAAATTCCTGGAATATGAATATTTTCTTGGTATTTTTTCTGAAAGTATGTTTAAAAATAGGAACATGCATTGTCGGTTAAGTAAAAAAAGTTAAAAAATCCACGGAAACGTTTTTAGGGCACTAGTGGGGTAGTAAAACATAAAATTGTTGGCCAAATCAACAGTTTTATTGCAAAAATGCCCGAAGTGGTTTTTTTAAATATTTATATATTTATTTGTATTCAATATTACTTGTATAATTATGTTAACAGTATAAAAGTATCACTTTTTAATTTAAATTTAATTGTAAAACTGTTCTATCGCCATAAAAATCATTTAAACTCAATTCTATTCATAAAATCACTTTAAAAATTGCTTTTTTGTGAGAAGATATCGACTATTTTACAAACTCCCAATAGAGCGAGTCCAATATTAATCGAAAAACGGAAGAAAAAACCAAAAAGGGACAACTAACCTAGAATTTTTTGCGACTCCTCGGCCAGATTGACGCCCCCCATGGCGGCCACGTCGTTGATGTCGTCGTCGCCGGTGTACGCCGACGAGAACGTCTTCTTCTCCTTCTCCTTGGCCTGCGCCAGACGGTTCAGCGTCGAAGGCACCGTGGGTTTGGCGCCTCCGCCCACCCTGAGGTGGCCGGCGCCCGCCGTCTGCTTGGCCTGCAGGTTCGCGCCCGCGGCGCCCGCCCGCACCGTCACCGGCTGCCGCACCTGGCCGCCCGCCGCTCCCACCGTTCTCACCTGAAGATTGCGGAAAAACGACGGATTGTCAGCTTGTTTTTGGACTGTTTTAAAGCGGGAGAAACGTGCCAAACAAAAGTCAAATTATGAAAGATAAATTTATGATATAACCACAAATTTTAAGGCTTGCCAACTAAATCCCCAAACTCTACAGGGTGTCCGAGAAAAGGAGGTCAATCCGTTAACCATATATCCCTTAGTTAAAAAACTTTCATAATACCATTTTTCAATTTAGAGCTTCATGTTCGATATACAGGGCGACAAAGTTTGAAATTTAAAACTGATTTTTTTTAATAAGTCCAGTCCTCACTGACTCCCCCTATTTTTTAGTACGAGCGCCAATGACTTCCAAACGGTATTTTTTTAGGTAATCATTTATTGTTAAAAAAAATTTGTATCTTATAAAATTTTGGTAAAATGATTTGTTTTAGAGATAATTTGTAAAGTATGGGTCAGTCCATATCAAATCAACCAAAGGTTCATCCGATTTTGATAATTTTTGGTAATTTGTTTACCTCACTAAAAAACTAAAAAATCCCATATATGAATTTTTTTCGATAGGTGGTTTTTGTTTTATTGATTTTTGAAAATCAAAAAATTCCGATAAATTTGGGTTTTGCAAGTACTTACAAAAATAACGATATCTCGGAAACTATTAAAAGTAGAAAGGTGAGTGGTGGCTTATTTTAAAGGCCTATTAGAGACCTTTTTTATGATATATCACATGACCTAAATTTTTTCAAGAAAAAAATTAAATTTCGAAAATTTGATATGGACTGACCCATACTTTACAAATTATCTCTAAAACAAATCATTTTATCAAAATTTTATAAGAGACAAAAAATGTTCAACAATAAATGATTACCTGAAAAAATACCGTTTGGAAGTCATTGGCGCACGTACTAAAAAATAGGGGGAGTCAGTGAGTACTGGATCCCCCTATTTTGATTATTTGACAATTGTTTTTTTGTTTTGTTGGTCTCCAAAAATGTAACTATTTATGTTGAAGTAGTGTACCGAATTTAAACTTAATATCTTATCAATTACTCGAATTATTAAATAAAAATCAGTTTTAAATTTCAAACTTTGTCGCCCTGTATATCGAACATGACGCTCTAAATTGAAAAATGGTATTATGAAAGTCTTATTGTTTTAACTCAAGGAATATATGGTTACCGGATTGACCTTTTCCCGGACACCCTGTATGTCCTGGATATTAAATAAAATAAATTTTATTAGACTGGGCCAAAAAAATCGACTATTTTTTTTGTAAAGTATATCGAGAATATTGTTTGGGGTGACAAAAAAAAATTATGGTGAAGGTTTGAGTCCATAATATTAATATTAAGAGGTCTATCATCGCAATTTTAGATTTTTTTTCCTGAGCGAGTTTTTGTCTCAGAACTCAAACCATTGAGTTTAACAAAATTAAAATTTGATTTGAAAATTGAAAGATTTGAACCAGAGTTTAACAAAATTGACTTAAGCATATTTTTGAAGAAAATTGAATGTTCTACAAAAAAAGTTTGATTGGAATTTCCCGTAAGATGAACCGTTTTCTTACAATCATGCCTTAAAAATTGGTAGTACAATTTGATCTTTTAACTTTGGAATTTTGTAATTCATGTAAAAATCAGTACCGGAAAAATAGATATTCTTATGGGAAATCAAATGCTCTACATAAAAAGTCTCCTAACAAAGTTATTCAAGGTTAAATTTGAAGTTTTTTCCGCTCTAGATTTTTTTTGGGTCAGTTAAAAACTTGAATTCTGCTATCGATGATAATCTTTATGTTATTGATAAAATTACTGAAAATTAAAAAAAAATATCACATTTTTTCGCTTTAAGAAGCTATTTTCTTTAGAAAATATTATTTTCACTGTTACCTATTTAATTGTTTAAATAATAACAATCATGTTGTTTTTTTATTGTAAAATGTTAATTAGTTATATAATACACATTTATAAAGAAGAAAATCAAATTATCACCCGTAAAAAATAAATCTACAGGGGAAAACACAAGAATTTCGTTTTGACTTCAACTTTAACCTTGAATAACTTTTGATTGAGTGAATTTAGCCAAAAATTTTAAGAGGCTTTTTTGTAAAGCATTTAATTTCCCATAAGAATATTCATCGGTTTTTTTCTGGGTACTGATTTTTACATGAATTACAAAATTCCAAAGATAAAAGATCAAAATGTAAAACTATACCAATTTTTAAGGCATGATTTTAAGGAAACGGTTCATCTGATGGAAAATTTCATTTTAACCTTTTTTGTAGAGCATTTAATTTTCTTAAAAAAATATTTCTGAGTCAATTTTGTTAAACTCAATAGTTTGGGAGTTTTGAGACAAAAACTGAAGAAAAAAAATTTAAAATTGCGATGATAGACCTCTTAAAATTAATATTATGGACTCAAACTTTCACAATAATTTTTTTGTCACCCCAAACAATATTTTCGGTATACTTTAATAAAAAATAGTTGATTTTTTTGGCCCAGTCTAATATTTATATCAAAAATATAATTAAAGGTTAATTATAATAAAATAAAAAATATACTTTTAAAGCCTATAAACGCGTTTTTATTTTAACCATGTTTATTTTTAATAGTGTAAAGTGCATTTATTATTTTAAACTTTAAATTGTAAATTTTATTTAACAAAATATTTCCGGTGGTAATAATTAAGACTTTGGTTTTCATAATTAGACTTTGACAAAAAAATAAGCAATCACAAAAATCTTACTACATAGTAAAAAAACATAAAGCAACAAAACATAAACATGTATATGTAATAAATAAATATCTATTTTTAATTTTGGCATGCATTTAGTCCAATGGTGGAGTAGTTGTCACAAGAAAATATTAGCCAAATACATTTTAAAATTATTTTTTTTAAAGGAGAAAATTAATCATGTTTCCTTTTTGTTAATTTAATATTTTTTTGATTGGGGATGTTAAAAGTTTTGCGTCAATTCGACAAATTTAATAAAAGCTTTTTTAAGATTATTTCAAGATTTGTAATGGCTTTTTTCTTTTTAATTCAATGCAAAGGGCTGAAATATCATAAATCGAGAATGAGTGCAATTTTTTTAAAATATTGTTTGTTTTAATATTTTTTAATAAATCCTAAGGTTTAGAAAGTTAAATTTTAAAGAAATATACTTATTTTGGTTTTTTTTGTATTTATCAAGCAATGTTGACAACCATTATCTTTATAATTTGGACATCTCAAAAATTGGTATTATGCTCCACACCTCAAAGTCCCACCACGTGACCACGTACGGAACGCAGTCTTTTGAAAATTTGGCATTTAAGGCTTTTCAGGTTATGTATCTGTCAAAGTATAGTCAATGAAAGAAATAATATTTATAGTGTTACCGCTTATGTTTAAGCGTTAAAAGTTAATAAATCTTTATATTATCACAATAACAATGGTTGGTTTAAGAATTTAGCAATATAAAAACTGCATTTAATGAAATTCCAAAGTGTAAGGTGCAATATAAGTGATATTTTTGTGCATTGGGTCTACATTTCTCCATAAAATAGTTTTAACTAAACAGCATTTATTAAAAAAAAATCTAACTTCTCTATTATGAAATAAGAATATCTGTATCAAAGGTAGGTTAATGTATTAGAACAAAAAATATCATCATATCATTTTAAGGTTAGAAAAATCTATTTTACCAAAATAAATAAGTGGATTATTTGGAAGAGTGTGTTAATATGGTGATAAATAAATATAGTTATACTAAATAATTGTTGAATATGATTCAAATTAAATTGAAGCTTTTATACTTTTAATGACAAAACTTGTGCATATCTCTCAGCATACCTACTTTAAGTTAGATTATAAGAAAACAAACAATTTTTAGAGAAACTTCAATGTGAAAATATTTAATACTCCCATGACATGCGATTTATTAAAATTTTTAAAGTAATAATGATTTTTCGATGTAGATCAAATTCAGTCAAAGCTTTTTAACTATTTGTATTGACATTGATAAGAAAAACTACCACATTTTTAAATACCATATTATACAGTCTTTTAAATAATCCAAAATACTTATTTATTTTGGTCAAAATAAATTTTTCTAACCTTAAAATTACAAAATTAGATGATATTTTTGTTATAATATATTAACCTACCTTTAAAACAGATATTCTTAATATTCATAATATAAAAGCTAGATTTAAAAAAAATGCTGTTTAGTTAAAATTATTTTGTGGAGAAAACCAGATATTTGGACCAAATGCACAAAAATATTACTTATTTGGCACCATACACTTTAGAATTTCATTAAATGCAGTATTTATATTCTTAAATTCTTAAACCATCCATTGTTATTGTAATGTTATAAAGATTTATACATTTTTAACGCCTAAACATAATATTATTTCTGTCTTTGACTATACTTTGACAGATACATAACCTGAAAAGCCTTAAATGCCAAATTTTCAAAAGACTGCGTTCCGTACGTGATAACGTGGTGGGACTTTGAGGTGTGGAGCATAGTACCACTTGATTTTTCAAGAAATTGAACTGTGCTATAATGGGGTAGTTAAATTTTTTCTGACCTATACTTTTTATGGTTTTGTAATTTTAAACATTTCTGTGAAATCGGAATTTCAATTGAGTTTACCGTTTTCGAGATATTTACAAAAAAAATTCTCCTAATTACGTCACTAGGCTATTGACAACGTTGCCAGCTTTTTCTATGGTTGCCAGTGTGTTTAGTTTAAGATTATTACGATAGATGGCGCCACGTTATAATATTTTAGTTTTAAAACCACTTGATCTATAATTTTAGTAGAGAAGAAGAAGAAGAATTGATTTTTTGACGTTTATTTTTTTCGGGTTATGTTTTTTTTAAATTTAGATTATTGAAAATCAATGTTATTGTTATGTTATTTGTAATTGATATTAGATAAGTGATTTATTAATAACGGACTCCAAAGCAGAGGAATCTTGTGGAATGGTTGGTTACATTGAACATTGGAGCTTTTAAACAAATAAAGTAAGTACCTAAAATTATAATCAAATTTTGTCGTAAATGCATTTCATTAGTATAATGCAGTTTTTTATATTCTTTTAGATATATCTTGGACTCTAAAATATCAAACAGTAATATGATACCTCGTAATAAGGAAGATAGGTACTTAATGAATTTGGTGACCATCTTTCACTCAACTGACAGTGACAGTATTTGTACATAACTCTTCGGGTATTTTCTGACATAACCGAATGAAATCATTAACAAGACAACTTGACAACAGGGTAATTTTCAACCAATAGAAAACAAAACGCCTTGAATAAAACCACAAAAAGTATAGGTCAGAAAAAATTTAACTACCCCATTTATCATCATAATTTTCCGCCACCGCCCTTCACATTTCCGAGTGGACAACCGAACTCCTACCTGCATGGTCGGGTGTCTGACACCCGACTGATTAACAACAAAGCCACCGTGCTGTTGCTGATGGTGCAACTGTTGCTGTATCGCGTGTTGCTGTTGCTGATGTTGTTGTTGTTGACGTACTTGATTGTTCGGATAGACCGGATGCAGCGCGGGCGGCTGCGAGCTGCTCACGATCACGTTGGCGGCCCCCTGCTGTCGGATGGCGGAGACCATGCGCGCCGCTCCCGGCGCCGGACTTCTCAGCGGCGTCACCAGTCGCTGCTGCAGAACCTGGCCGCCGGCCGGTCGCACCACCGTCCCCGGCGTCACCAACCTGACCTGCGAAATGAGATAAAAAATATTAAGTGTTTATTTATATACAGGGTGTCCCAGAACTCGCGCCACAGAGAAAAAGGGGGCGTGCCGATAGCAATGGAGATGCCAAATTTAAAAATAAAAAATTTCTAGGTAATAGTGTAATCGAATGAGAGCAAAAAAGCGGCAGCCAATACCGAGAGATCTCGCCTAGGTTAAACGTAGGAGCTTTAAAAATTGCTAGGAGACGATAGAACATTGTTGTATTAAAAACATTTAAAAATCTTTTGGCCAACTGTATTTACTAAGTTGTCAAAAGCTTTCAAAAATGAGGTTATTAATCTATGACTTATACTTCAGAACGCCAATGTTTTAAAATAACGATTAGGAAAGGGCTGGGAAAAAACTCGCGTTGTCTCCCTGGCGTTGCGCCCACACTAAATAAATAAATAATTATCATTTCAGTATAATCATCTAAGGAAAACATTATTTATAATAACTTAATTTATAACCTAATATAATATTAATGACAGGAGTTTGATAGCAGTGTCACAATGAATTGGATTCCAGTGGACCAAATATTTTACATATTTTTTATTATCAACAATGCAACCTAAGTATCCTAGCAATTTAAAGAATTCCCTATGGCCATCTATTGGGATTGGCTATCGTTTTTTATTCTTATCTCGCTTATCCTTTGCGTTAGACAATTTTAATTTTCAAATATGTGTTTCACGTTACTTTCGGCACGTTCCGGTTTTCTATGTGGCGCGAGTTCTGGGACACCCTGTATATAGAGGTCTGCTTAGTTTTATTTTTTATAATTATTTGAAGGCACTTTGTTTAACTACCTTCAAAGAATAGGTTTTGGTAAAAACATTTTTTAGATTACTTCAGTTTTAACCTTACGATCTTTCACAGTAATGTTTTTATATACAGGGTGAGTTTTAAGTTGACGCGTTCCTTTTAACAGCGTGTAGAAATCAGATAAACAAATAAATATTTTAAGTAACTTTTTTATCAAAACTCAAAAATAAGAGAGTTATAGGCCTTCCAAGTTTAATTAAATTTTGAGCCGGTCCTGGCTATTGTTAACGAAAAACAACCATAAAAATATTAAAATAAACAATGCAAAATGTCATATTTGACAACAAACATAACCATTTCAATCAAATTGACATTTTACAATAAAAAATGTCATTATTTACTTACGTTGCAGCATTTGCATTTTGACGACACTCTCCATAAATTAGTAACATTTCCACTAATTCATTATTGCTATAATTATGAACCATTTTTAACAATAATTGAGGCACAAAAAAACTGACATTTTTCATTGCTAAATGTCATTTTGATTTAAATGGTTATGTTTGTTGTCATAGATGACATTTTGCATTGTTTATTTTGTTATTTTTATTTTTATGTTTATGTTTTTTGTTAACAATAGCCAGGACCGGCTCAAAATTTAATTAAACTTGGAAGGCCTATAAGGGCCGGTTTTTCAATTAGGGTTTAAACCTTGGTTCAGGGGAACTTAGATCAGTTAATGAACTGAGTTCACAGTCAAATGAGTTTTTCAATGTCGACTCAACAGCAGTTCTGTTGAACTTAGATCAGCGGTGTCAACGTTAAGTTGGTACAACCGAATTTAGTATACGCCTACATTAATAGTAGTTAAAACTGTCATTTTGACAAAAGGATTTTGTGTTTACTTTTGGAGTTTTGTTTATCTGTGCTGTTTTAAAAAGTTATAATCTGTGCGAAAGGGTGCTTTAAAACAATTTACTATTGTTAAAGAACAATAATTATTATTTATTATGGATAAAAATCGTGCTGCCAACTTTACCTCTTTTAAGTAGGAATTATTGGTAGGTATGTATTTCGTTTTATAGTATAAAATAGAGATGGGAATCGGAAAGTTTCCATTTTAAGGAAACTTTCCTTTTTGGAAAGTTTCCAATTGGGAATTTATTTTCATTTTGAAAGTTTCTTTTAAGCTACCGGAAACATTCCTTGGAAACATTCATTGGAAACTTTCCTTGTTTTTTTCATTTAAATGTCAATTGTTTAACCGCTGATTTTCGTTAAGGCCATGATACAAGACCAAGAAACTTTGAATAGGAATTACAAAATAGTGCAAAAAAACAAAAATTTTATCAGTCAGAACTGCAATACTATTTTTAGTATATTTTACTTTTCAATATTCCTATATATAAGTTACATTGTTCATTTTAATTTTTTTACGTAATATCTAGGATTTACTAGCAGTGAATTTCTAATAGTAAACATTTTATTTTTATTTTGTAGGTTTCAGTATACAATAGGAATATTCCAAAATAAAAGATACTAAAAATAGTATTGCAGTTACATTCTTATAAACATTTTTTTAATTTTTTTTCTTAATAAAATTTGACAAAAAGTTAATGTGTTATATATTTTTGCAAATCCCTGGCATAAAAAAATATTTTCGCAATAAAAAAATTTTTTTTGAAACTTTCGGAAAATTTCGGGAATTTTAGATGGAAAGTTTCCGGGAATTTTCGTCAAATGGGAATTTTCCCATCTCTAGTATAAAACGAATTTGTCGTTTTTTTTGTTACATGTGATGAATTTTACTAAAATCTATTACCTATTCAGTAATTATTTTTATAACCTATAGGTCGGATTTGCAATAACTGGTCTAATTAAATCCCCTATCCTACGTACAAAAGGTTTGGAAAACCGAAATCTGACAAAAAATTCATTATTTTTCCACCTTGCAAAATGATTCGGCCTTACCCGTGGCCTGTGCACACGAAGTTTAATATTATTTAGGAATTCGCCAATTTCCTTATCTTTTGATTTAGTTTAAACCAAATTCAAGCTTAAACTTTGATTGAAAAACGGCATATTTTGTTAGAACCAAGTTCAAATGCTGAACCAAGTTTAAACTATGATTGAAAAACCGGCCCTAAGCGACCATAATCACCTTTGATTAGTTTAGTCATTAAACTTTGATGACTGGCGTTGTTTGGTAAGAGGCATGCGCAGTTACACAAGGTAGAGGTGATTTATGTTAATTTAGTTTTTATCGCCAAATTCTTACAATTTTCGTGTAATTCGATTTAAAAATATTAATTAATGACGTAAATTCTCTATTTATACAAATTTAATTCAAAGTTGTACTGAAAAAGATGTTTTTATTCAACCAACATTCGTTTGATATTTTTTGTTAGGCTTTAATTATTATTAAATAATTATCTCTAAATACCAAAAATTAAGCGACCATAATCACCTTTGATTAGTTTAGTCATTAAACTTTGATGACTGGATTATAGATGGCGTTGTTTGGTAAGAGGCATGCGCAGTTACACAAGGTAGAGGTGATTTATGTAAATTTAGTTTTTATCGCCAAATTTTTACAATTTTCGTGTAAATTCGATTTAAAAATATTAATTAATGACGTAAATTCTCTATCTATACAAATTTAATTCAAAGTTGTACTGAAAAAGATGTTTTTATTCAACCAACATTCGTTTAATATTTTTTGTCAGGCTTTAATTATTATTAAATAATTATCTCTAAATAACAAAAATTAAGCGACCATAATCACCTTTGATTAGTTTAGTCATTAAACTTTGATGACTGGATGATAGATGGCGTTGTTTGGTAAGAGGCATGCGCAGTTACACAAGGTAGAGGTGATTTATGTAAATTTAGTTTTTATCGCCAAATTCTTACAATTTTTGTGTAAATTCGATTTAAAAATGTTAATTAATAACATAAATTCTCTATCTATACAAATTTACTTCAAAGTTGTACTGAAAAAGAAGTTTTTATTCAACCAACATTCGTTTAATATTTTTTGTCAGGCTTTAATTACTTTTAAATAATTATCTCTAAATAACAAAAATTAAGCGACCATAATCACCTTTGATTAGTTAAGTAATTAAACTTTGATGACTGGATGATAGATGGCGTTGTTTGGTAAGAGGCATGCGCAGTTACACAAGGTAGAGGTGATTTATGTAAATTTAGTTTTTATCGCCAAATTCTTACAATTTTCGTGTAAATTCGATTTAAAAATGTTAATTAATAATATAAATTCTCTATCTATACAAATTTACTTCAAAGTTGTACTGAAAAAGAAGTTTTTATTCAACCAACATTCGTTTAATATTTTTTGTCAGGCTTTAATTACTTTTAAATAATTATCTCTAAATAACAAAAATTAAGCGACCATAATCACCTTTGATTAGTTAAGTAATTAAACTTTGATGACTGGATGATAGATGGCGTTGTTTGGTAAGAGGCATGCGCAGTTACACAAGGTAGAGGTGATTTATGTAAATTTAGTTTTTATCGCCAAATTCTTACAATTTTTGTGTAAATTCGATTTAAAAATGTTAATTAATAACATAAATTCTCTATCTATACAAATTTACTTCAAAGTTGTACTGAAAAAGAAGTTTTTATTCAACCAACATTCGTTTAATATTTTTTGTCAGGCTTTAATTACTTTTAAATAATTATCTCTAAATAACAAAAATTAAGCGAACATAATCACCTTTGATTAGTTAAGTAATTAAACTTTGATGACTGGATGATAGATGGCGTTGTTTGGTAAGAGGCATGCGCAGTTACACAAGGTAGAGGTGATTTATGTAAATTTAGTTTTTATCACCACATTCTTACAATTTTCGTGTAAATTCGATTTAAAAATGTTAATTAATAACATAAATTCTCTATCTATACAAATTTACTTCAAAGTTGTACTGAAAAAGAAGTTTTTATTCAACCAACATTCGTTTAATATTTTTTGTCAGGCTTTAATTACTTTTAAATAATTATCTCTAAATAACAAAAATTAAGCGACCATAATCACCTTTGATTAGTTAAGTAATTAAACTTTGATGACTGGATGATAGATGGCGTTGTTTGGTAAGAGGCATGCGCAGTTACACAAGGTAGAGGTGATTTATGTAAATTTAGTTTTTATCGCCAAATTCTTACAATTTTCGTGTAAATTCGATTTAAAAATGTTA